TGGCAGATAAAGCACTAAGAAGGTGATTGATATGTCAAGGATAAAATAAGCACTGGCTAAGCAATTACATTACCTTGAACCCCTTCACTTGTGCATGCTTGTGTTAAGCACAGCTAGTGCCTCAAATGTGAGTAAGAAGGCCTTCTCTCATTAACTGGTCCTGTCGACCCTCAGATCAAGGCAGAAGACAGTTAACAGCTGAATTTATAGCAGAGATCAAATAGGAAATGCAATCAATACAAGGACATCAATACATGGTGCTGTTGTTTTTCAGGCAGACGGAGAAACAAACTCTTACGTGAGAAAATACAAGTGTGAGTATTGCTAGAATATAGAATCAGGTAGCCTGGTTTACTATGGAGGAAAGCCACATAACTGTCTTCTCCAAACCCTTTAACATCCAACAAGATGAAGGTCTTTCATGTCCATCTTGTGCGGACAAGATGACTTGGGGTCCTATAGGAACTACTAAAAAGTAATCTCCCTCCCCAAGTTTGCCAGAGTACCACACTTTTGTTTTTACTAACCTAAAATGACCACAACTAGTGTCATGTCTTTGGGTTCAACCACAAACATAGGAGTGTTGTTTCCCTATATAATATTAAAATATACATGTGACTTATGAGAAAAAGGAAAGACTCTGGGGAATGTCTCTATTTTTTTTTATTCCAAAGGTCACACGAATGCAATCCAAATCAGAAGTTTCAGCTACCCTAAGAGGCTGGGATGGGCAGAATTCAATAGTGGATGAGGACGGAGGAAGTCTCAGAGCAGCAACTCCTGAGAGAGGCTAAGGGCAGATTTCAGTGAGGTATGGCCTTGACAGTGGACTGCAAGCCTCTCCATGGCCAAGGCCCTGGCTGATTCACCTTTGTATCTTCAGGGTCCTAAACTTAATAAATATGCAGTGAGTGCATGAACAACTGCTAGACTGTCGTAAGAAGTGCTTACTAATGCAGAGAGAGAGACAATGGGCTGGAAAACTAGAAGAAGGTGATGAGGTATACTTTTAGCTAACCTTGGGGTTAAGTATTCAGAAGGAAGCCAGGATCCAGAAACAACTGCTGAGATAGTTGTGGTTTTTCTAGGAACTAAAAAGATCCCAGAACTGGAGGAGCTAAGTACAAGGGAAGAATGGGCAAAGGAAAAACTGTCCACAGGGGTACTTTCTTCTGGACAAGAGAATCCTATTCTTACTTTTCTATACAGTGTTGCTTTTATAACTTTTCTTCCTAATGATGTTATTGCAAGAGGCATAAAAATCAATTTTTCTAATTAAAGATGAAGCTCCTATCTTCATACTTATTAAACACAGGAGGAAACACATGTGGGGTTATGACAGTAATCCAAAGACTATGTTTATTTGCAGTTAGTTGATTTTGTGCATGCATATCTACTTGTCAACATACGGTTTATGTGTGTCTGTTTCTGTCTGTTACACTATTTCACAGAGAGCATTTGGATCATAAATGAAATTAGTTTTTACCTCCTTTTAGTCCTAAGATATAGTTGTGTATGTTTTAGTATTTGATTCCACAGTGCAATTATATATAAAAAAATGCAAGGAAATTCATGTGAATTTTAATTTTTAACTGTAAAAATTGACTTTTGGAGTTTGTAGGGTGTTGGGTAAGCCTTTGATGAGGTAATCTCTTTATCATGATACTCCAAGCTGAGGGGTTTCTTGAGAGTAAATATGCTGAGTATATCACTTTTCTTTTTTAGCAGTACTATCACAACAGTTAGGTGGGATCTTATTTTGTTTGGAGGTAAAGAAAGAAGGAACTGCTAGTGGGAATGTAGACTGGTGCAACCACTATGAAAAACAGTGTGGAGTTTCCTCAAAAAATTAAATATGGAACTGCCATTTGACCCAGTGATCCCACTTCTAGGAATATATCCTAAGAAACCTGAAGCACCAATCAGAAAGAATGTATGCACCCATATGTTCACAGCAGCACAGTCTACAATAGCTAAGACATGTAAACAGTCCAAGTGCCCATCAGTAGATGAGTGGATAAAAAAGCTGTGGGTACATTTATACCATGGAATACTATGCAGCAGAATAAAGAAGGATCTCTTACCCTTTGAGACAGCATGGAGGGACTTGAAGAGTATCATGCTAAGTGAAATAAGTCACTCAGAGAAAGACAAGTTTCACATGATCACATTCATATGTGGAATCTAAGTAACAAAATTAACTGATGAACAGTATGGATCCAGACACATGGAAGCATGGAAGAGCGTGGAATCTCAGAGGCAAGGTAAGGGAGGGTGGGTGGATAGGAGGTAATCAACCAAGGACCTTGTATGCATATATGAACAACCCATGGACACAGACAATAGGGTGCTGAAGGCATGGGGGGGGGCTGGAAGGGATCAATGGGGCAAAAAGGGGACATATGTAATACTTTCATCAACAAAGAATTATTTAAAAAAAGAAAGAGGGAACTGACATAAACAGGGGAAGTGACTTCAAATTTTCTTTTGGTTCATCGGAGTCTGTTCTTTAGCAGATGGTGGATACCTACACCCTTCAAAATAGATGCAGAGTGACTTCTTGCTACATAGCGAGCTAGTGCTTTTTTGTCTTTACCTTTTGCTTAAAATACTATTGAAAACTATCTAAACCAGTCGACTCCTAACTTAATTTCTCCATTTCTCTAATGTTTTCTGATTGACAAATCAGAGTAAAGGCAAAAGATATGCCCTTCTGTGAAGTCTGAGCTCTGACCCCAAGTCCTTATTTATAGAGCCGGGTCACTTTCCTTGCCCTCCTCTGGTGCCTGGAATGCTCCACTTGTTCTTAAAAATCCATTCCTGGGCACATATTTTTAAAAAGTAAAAAGACATTTTTAAATGTGAAAATCTTACCCTACGGAAGCACAAGGCAATCCAAAGATAATAACGAAATATGCCAGAGGGCTCCTCAAGTTTTAATTCCCCCTTTGCTTGTGTATTTAAAACAACAACAACAACAAAAAAAAACTTTCTGAAAATGAAGAATTATCCAGACTCACAAAGCTGGTGCTGTCTGAGAGAACCCAGCTATAAATTCACACTTTAGACTCGGCCTTCTTTGGGGGAAAAAGAAAAGAGTCACTACCGTTCGCACTGAGCGACATGTGTGAATTCTCACTCCTGGAAGGGCTGGCTGGTGTGTGCCAGGATCAGGTGTGAAAGGAAGGAACCAGGTAGGAACATTTCAGCGGTGCAGCTGCGGGGAGACGCCTCCGCCCCTAGCCGTTGGCCCCCACGCTGGGCTGTACTGCCTTGGTTTCCCTGCGCGCAGGCACTGAAGACAGAGAAGGGGAAATGCAGCAACTTCGGAGCAAGCCCTCGCCTTGCTTTGGAAGCTCCGGTTGCCCTCTGAGGGCGAAACCTCTCTGAGCCAGGAGCTTGCCTGGGACATCTTATCTTCTGCAGTACTCCCGCGCCTCGCCCGGCCGCTGCCACTGGCGCCCCCAAGCGCCGCACGCCCCAACTCTTCTCGGAGCCTCCTTGGATCTTCGCAGCAGCGAACTGGACTTGGGGAGCCGCGGGGCTGGCAGGAAAGTTTCCCATGGAATTCCCAGGGGCTAGGAGACAGGACGCCCTGGAAGGCGGCACTCAAAGGGCGCCCTGTCCCCGACATTCCTTCCTGGGATTGCCTCTTTGCGAAGCGGGCAGCTGCCTGGCGCGGTAGGGATGCCGGTGGAGCTGTGAGGCTCAAACCCAGGGAACACGCTGGAGTGCACCCCACTCCCCCCAGCCCCTCACAGACAGGGATAGAGGCTGCGTGCGTGTTTGGGTGGAGAATACCGAGATAGAAAGTCCTAAACGCCTCCTAGGAGAGAGAAAGGACCATCTTTCCAACCTTTCGCTGGTGGCCTTTCCCGGGTTACACAGCCCCCCTCCGGATCGCTGGGCCCCCCGTCAGCCGCGCCAGCACAGCGCCCGCCTCTCGCAGCCCCTGGGAGGCACCGGCTAGAGCCCAGCCTGAGCGCACAGACCACAGTATTAACACCCACATGCCCACCCCTCTCCGTCTCCTGCGGGGCTTCGTAGCGCTCCCCGCGGAGTCGCGGGCTGAAGAGGGACCAGGATGGAAGGAAGGGGCTGGCGGTCCCCAGGCGCTGCGGCGGCGAGCCGCTGTCCACTTCCACATGGGCACCCCGTCTGTTCCCACAGGTCCTCCCAGCCCCTGGGGCTGTCGTTAGGCGTCAGGAGCCCTCACGTTCCCCTGGGGGCGAAACCCATTTTCTCAATGGTCGGGTGGAGGGAGAGGGGCGGGGGGAGAGAGGGAG